CGCATTCTCCAACGCATCTAGGCATGTTTCTGATCAGGTGGTCAATGTCCTCCTGTGGTATCTCATTCCAGGCAACCACCAACTCCTCTCGAAGTGCTTCTAGAGTCTGAGGAGGACGTTGCAAATTGAACAATCTCCTACCGATCATATCCCACACGTACTCAATTGGGGATAAGTCGGGAGATCTTGGTGGCCATGGTAACAATGTGACATCGTTATGTTGAAAGAAGTCTATTGTGACTCTTGCAACGTGTGGTCGGACATTGTCTTGTTGGAAAGTTGGATCTGTCAGGCTGTCAAGATAGGGTAAAAGATGGGGTTCTAGAACTTCGTGGATATAACGCTGCCCGTTCATGTTGCCTCTGATGAAGATTAAAGGTGACCTGGAACCATAAGCTATAGCACCCCAAACCATAACTCCAACAGTGTGATGAACTTGTTTTTCAACAAAAAACTGTGGATTCCTCCTTTCACCACGTCGCCTTCTAACCCTGGCACGACCATCGTGCATGCCTAAATAAAATTGAGACTCGTCACTAAAGAAAATACTGTTCCATTCCTGATCCCAGAGTGACCGTTGTCTGCACCACTCAAGGCGATTACGTCGGTGTTCTCGAGTTAAAGGGAGGACCCAGTGTGGCCGGTATGAAAACAAGCCAAAACTTCACATTCGTCGGTAAACACTTCGCATGCCAATAGGTCTTCCGTGTTCTGCAAACCATTCATTTGCAATGGACCTGGTAGTGGAGAAACGGTCCCTTAAGGCCAATAATCTTAGGCGGCGATCTTCACGGTCTGTTGTTCTACGGCGGCGTCCAGTGCCCCTTGCTCTTTGTGCACGGCCTTCTCGAAGCCATGCCTGACAACACCTAACCACAGTGTCTACACTTCTTTGCACTCTAACTGCAATTGCCCGAAAAGAATGTCCAGCTTACCGAAGTCCCACTATACGGCCCCTATCAAACTCATCAAGTTGACGAAATCGTACAGGTCTCCGTACTCTAGGCATCGTAACCGATCGTAAAGGATGTCAAGAACCAAAATCCGCCAACGTTGATTCTTTACTGCGGCTGAAATATTCATTTTTAGAGCGTTAGCGAATGAAAAAAAGGCAGTATAAAAACCGGAATGTCAAACTGATAAAGCTGAAAATTTTTTCACTTGTTATTTGCAGAAA